CAGCTCAAATACTTCTGAATGTATGAGAAGTCTAAAGCACTTTTGTTAAAGGTTCTGTGAGATCTGTTTCAGGTTTTGTGAGGTCTGTAGCATTATAATTAGAGTTACACAATGAACCAATTACTTAGGAAGACAAAGTAGCCTGGCCATAGGACTTCAAGATCTGTTTGCTTCATATAGTGTACTGTCAGTTGTCCACAGCAGAGACACTGTGATCAGCCTTTAATGGTATTTCTGAAACCATACTTACATATTTAATCTGTATTTATTTTTTTCACATTCCTTACATTTTAAAAGCAATGTCTACTTTAAATATTTTCTTTTCTGTATTTTCTCTTGTGATTCTAGCTGTAGGTAAGATCCAAGTAACAAAAGCGGTGTGTATGTACAAAATTAAATATATTTTATACCAGAAAAGAGAAGCTAGAAGTATTTTGAACCTTTGGCTTTCATCTAAATCCTATGTAGTTTAAGTAAGGGTCATCATACCTAGCAGTGTCATCAAATCTGTACTTGGTGAGAAGTATTCTCTGTTTTTTTCCAATGACCAGTATTACGTGCCTAGTTTGGAGTAGGGTGACTTCTTACTGGGTATGTCTGTGTCTCTTCAGTGAGTGGACACGTGGCTCAGAATTGACCAGCAGTGAATCCCAGCATACCTGACTCCCCCTGGTTTCTTGTGTCCAAAGATAGAGGAGGGGTTGCTTGGATTATACCCTATCACAGTATCACAGTATGCTAGAGATTGGAAGGGACCTCAAAAGATCATCTAGTCCAATCACTTTTACAGGGTGATCTAGGCTGCACATTCAGATGTCTGCCACCACCAAAGTATTTGCGAGCAAACAGGAGGCAGCTAGTACATCGAGCTCCTTGGGAGTTAAGTTTGTTGGCTGTTTTTCAAGAGGAAAATACCTACTGGGGAGAGCAGAAGTTACTGACTTCTAGGAGAGGGATCATAACAGCATTGTCCTGCAGGTTGTCCTCTGTCCTGGACATAGCAGTTTATGCCTGCAATATCCAGTGTTACTTTTCTAAGGATTTTTTTTTTTTTTTTTCATTAAGAGTATCGGGCCCAACAAATGCAGATATGTGATGACAGGTGACATAATGGAAGGGGATAGAGTTTGGTCAGTGTTTTCTGAACAAACAAAAAGGGAAGAAATAGCTGTTACTGTCCAGTCTTATATAGAGCGTTGTGATCATTTGTTGGCACAAAGTCCATTTTTCTTACATTTTAGGGAAAAGGCATTTTTATAAAAGATAAAACGTAACTTCAACACATCCTGTCAAACTGGGATGCAAAAAAAGGTTGACATTTCAAAGCAAGAGAAAGGTAAGATGAGAGAGATCAGTAAAAAACAGACTGAATAACTCTCGCTTCTAAAGTTTTCAGGTCTTTGACATTATTCTGTGTAGACTCAAAACATGAAGCTAATCAATTTTTTGTTCATGTCAGTCTAAAGAAATCTAGGTGATGTGCTCGAACGTGCTGGGAGTTTGCCAGAAGGAATTTATTAAGCCACAAAAGCCAATTTTTAAAAAAGATTTTCAAATAAGATGGGCACGATAAAAAATTAATGACCCCTTCTTAGTAGTTGTATAAGAATAGGGGGAGATAAACTTTGTATACCATGTCCCTGATCTGATCTAGCAAACCTATGGCAGCATGGGGTAATAAAATTTACTGTGGCACTTACGGGCTGCTGTCAGAGTAGAAATGGTCAGAACAAAAAGAACAAGAGAGAATTGTATTAGCTAAAATTATTTAATATCACAGGCATATAAATAATATCAGACCACATAACGTGTGAATGTATGAACATTCCATTCACAGAAATGTAATAAATAATTAAATTAGATGAGTTGGTATAAAAAATAATCTTCTCAGGAAAAGTAGGTATTATACAGAATTGTATGTATCATGCTAAAACACATCCTGAAGTGCCTGCAAAGGGCACTTATGACCAAAATCATAAATAAATTTAAAAACCTCCCTGGGAGGTAATAGGCTCTTACGGCTTACTCTCTGTAATCAGTGCATGAAACACACATTGTTGATGCACAGAGTGCAGTTAGTGCAGAGAGAGTTAGTTCATCTTACAAATAAAATTAAATCAAGATTGTGTAACATCTGGCATTGCGATAAGTAGTCCATGCAAGGACGACATGTTCCTCCTGGGAATCTTCTTTTTTTTTTCCTCTTGAGAACAGTGTCAGTGAACAAGATGACGTGTTCTTGAAGACTGATCCATCCTTCACTGTTTTCCTGTTCTTGATTCGAGATTCAAATAGCGCACCCTGAATGAACACACTCAACCTTTCGTTACTCTGACAAATCAGAGTTAGCGGGAGGCCTCAGCCTCATGTAAGTCGAAAGTGTACAAAGTTGCCCACTGTTTCTGCTGACACTGCCCAGAAGTGTGGTGTTAACTAAAATCAGATGAGATCACTTTGTGATTAATATTTTCCATACATATCTGGACTGGATTGTCCAATAAATACAGTGCAAGATCTCAGTACAGGTAGCCCTCTAAGTTACATTTGTTGCAGTTTCTCACTAGTTTTTTAAATCCTTTGAAGGAGCGTTTTGAATTAAGTTATTCTGCGGGTACAAGAAATAGCCTCAGTTGAGTACAATAGGTTTGAAACAACAACAAAAAAAAAAACAAAACCAAACAACAAAAACCCTTTAGCACTGTGCTTGCTTTGATAAGATCCACAGCTCAAAAACAGTGGAGCAAGGCATTAAAAAGAAATAGCTACATTACTTACTGTATTACGTGCTGCCTGTTGCAATGTAGGCAGGGGTAACCAGTTAGCTTATGGTGTTCTGGTAGGGAATCGCCTTCTTGTCACAAAATAGGCATCCCAGGTATAAAAGTTGCTTCTCAATGCTATACAGTGACTACTAATAAATATGTAATATACAATATGCTCTTCGTTAGGGCATGCTAATCACATTTCATCTACACAACAAGAATTTTAATAGACTCTTTTAGAATATTGTTTGGAAAACACTTAGCAAATTACTGGAAAAGACATTTACAAATTCAAACAAATCAAAAACCATTCTACATTCTTCGCACAAAAATAAAGCTCTTTCCCCAGAACTCTGCACATGCAAGCATTCCTTAGAAGTGAATGCAAAGTTCTGATTTATAGGTTGGTTACCTGGGGCTCACCAAAATAAGCACTTACTTCATCATAAAGGCATTCAGTCAACACCCTCATACAGATTTAAATATAACATTGTGGAAACATCAGCAGGTACTATGCAGCTGCAGGACTTGCTTTAATGTTTGCCCAGTTGTATTTATCCAAATCCTAAATTAAGTTTTACCCTGGCTTTTTCTACTTCTCTAATTTTAAAATCCATTGCAGTCACAGCAGCAGCTTTGCATATTGCTTACCAATTGGTGATTAAGTGACCTAATGGGTAGCAAAGTCAGAAAAACAAGGATAAAAGGTGATGAACATCATTTAAACCTGATTACTTACAAATGAGTGGTAGCTCATATTTTGAGTTAATTCTCATGCAGTAATGTGGAAACATTGAGGTACGAGAGAGAACATTACTCAGAGGAGAAGCAGGTTTTGAAGCAGGAAAGAAAAAGGAAAAAAAAAGAAGATTTGATTTAGTCAAAATGGTCATCACCAGAAACAAGGCAAGTTCATTGTGGAAACTTGGTTTGCTGTTGCCGTGGGGATCTTCCTTCCTCCTCTGACATATATTTTTGAGGAGGTTTACATTTCAGGACAGCAAAAATGTGGAGGCAGAAAAAGCTTTTTGTATCAGTTTTTCTTTAGGCTGACATTGGTAAGAGTGGAAATAGTTTTAATATTATGTCATTATTTTTGGAGGTAACTAAGCTTGTAATTTTCCATCATAACACTAGATGTAATTTTCCAGTTTCCTCTCTATACCACATTTCTATTAAGTAGAGAGAAAATCAGGTGAAAGCTTAATTTTTACTGGAATGTTTTACACTCTTCCAAGCTTTGTTTCCTCATATGGGGCTAGTATCTGCTTGGGGCTAAATTAACAGTTACTTCTCAGATGGAAGAGGTCTGGAGGTACAGAATCATTGAAAGCAGAATACACCGGTATGTAATTAAGTTGCTAAAAACTAGTTTTAAATGTACTTACTTTTATTTTAAAAAGTTTCAGTGCTATCTCTGAGCATAGTTCCACAAAAATGCTCAGGATTCAGAAGTTGTACAGGCAGGTTCTCACATAAGAAAAAACTTGACAGTTTTTAAAGAAAAAACTGCAATTAAAACTTAATTCAGAAGAATTGAGTAGAGAGAACTAGTGTTTATGGTACATGAATACAACTGTAAAATACTATTTTCTGGGAAAGAGCAATATGCATCTGATCTGCTTCACACTGAATAATCATAAATTACTGTATTTCTTGGACGTTTTGCAGTGACTGGTCATACCAGCCAGTCATGCTTCTGCTGTATGTATCACACTGAGGGAATCTAGGTGGAATTCCATCTTCCGAAATGAGTTTCTTCCCACAGAATCTTGTATCCCCACTTAGAGCATGTGGGTTACTATTCTCCCTATTGAAACCCATGCCAAATTGTGCAGTTAACTTCAAGATTGGCATAAGTCAGACCCATGCCATACAGTATGATTTGTAAATGTTTTTTCCAGTATTTATAAGACAGTTAAATGTAGGATATTTTTTCCATAGTTAGCTAAGATAGCGTCTAAAAGCTCATAAATAAAAGCGTGTGCGGTGTTACTGTAGATCAGGACACCAGTCTGAATCGATACCATTTGAGGCTTCAAAGCCACTGACAATTCTTTAATTGACATTTTCTTTAAAAATTTTCAGACCTCTCTCTATGAAATTCATTTAAGAGCAAATGAAAAAAATCCAGAAGTAGCTATCTCTTACATTTCTAGTTTAGCAGAAGGTGATAGTTGAGAACCCTAAGAGAGCTTATTTTTGTGAAATTACAATTTAATTTTCACTGCAAAGGTGAGTCTAGAGTCACTTTCAAAGCACCATCTGCCATTTGAGTAGCTACCCAAATAAGACTGCTTAATATTTTGGGTGAAGCTTTCACGTACAGTGCATACAGAGCATAGCATAGTAGCAACACAAAATATTTACATTTTTCATGTTGTCTTAAATAGCATAGTGTCTGCTTTAAATAGTAGATTTTCAGTAGTCTTCAGCTCTGGTGTGTCCTGTGTTAATCCTTGAATAACTGCAAAAACAATGCATTGTCAGAAATAATGTAAAATAAGATACCTCTAATTGTTTGCAAAATGTCAAAAAGCACCCAGGAGGATTCAACTCTGATTACCTTTTTGATTAGTTTTGCAAAGCTCGTCAAAAACTCCTTGGGTTTTTTTTTCTCATAAGATTCACATGAAGACTCGCATGGCTGGAAGATAAAGAAAATCATGTCACTCCTAAACAGTGCATCAGAAGCAAAAATAATACTTCAAGCTTTCTTATTGAAAAATCAAGAAGGCTGTAATCAAAGCCTTTTACAAATGGAAAAGCTGAAACACAGCCTAGCTTGGAAAGGGAAAGAATATAGTAATGACACCTGTCCACATTTTTTGCAGCAATCCCTGTCCTTTTGTCTGGCACATCATGTGGTTGCCCAGTACATAGGCGCAGTTGACTGATAAGATCAGTATGAATGCCCCTTCCAGAAGTGCAGAAAATTGAACATTTTTAATTTCCAAGGTAATGAAAGGCACATAACTTTTTCTACCAAGTTTGCTCTCTACAATTCCACCATTGCACGTGGTGTCTGTTAGGGAAGATAAGGAGCAGTGATCAGGATTGTGAGCACTGTGAGGAAGTCTTACCTTCCCAGGGTCACTGAAGGAAAATCTTTTCAAGACTTTAATGGTTTGGATGAATGTAGAATTTACTTGGCTGTTTTCTGGTTGTAATTTCAGCGTGCCCTTCTGGAAGCAGGTCACAGCTGTGAAGAGGCATCCATCCTAGGTAAGGAAAAGAAGAATATCTTTAAAACTAACTTTGCAGCATTTTTTCTGGCATGTATTAGGTTGTGGTCCGTGTGTAGAAGTAAGTGTCCAGGACATTGATTGAGGAGATAAATTTGTGCTCTCTCTTTTTTCTAAGTTAGTTTTTGAGAGAGATCTGTAACTTTTTCGCTGCCTGTTCTTTGCTAATTGCTTAAGTACTTCCTCAGAAAATAAATGACGCTTTGATATTAATCATAGCAGCAACTGAAAGAAAATGCTACTAAAGAGTAAATCATATTATGTAATATTATGTGTAGTAAGTTTTCACAAGCATGGGCATGAATATTTTCTCTTAAAAAATAAGAAATTATCACTCTGGACTGTTCCTCAGTGCTACATATGGGAATATACTTTTTTCTTCCTAATTTTTGTGCCATTTCTAATATTACATACTTAATAATTAGAATTGATGTAGAACAACGTATTTTCAAATACAGTTGAAATATTCTCACTTGATAACATGGGAAATGAAAGTGATGAAGTAAATTAGTTACTAAAGAGAAAAGAAGCATTGAGGGTGAGAGGCAGGAGAAGGAACTGGGCTCCTGGCTTGAATTGTCTTACTGTGTTCCTTTAAATTCAGGTGCACATTAAATCCAAGTCAAGGAAAGCCAGCACTCTCTGTATCTGACTTGGAAAAGAAGCAGTCTAATCTGATGATACAAATTTTCTGTTGCTGCTGCTTATCTGGAATGAAAGCATCCTGCCATTTTCCTTTCATAGTGCAGCTGCATATTAATTTTACTGATGCTAACAGAAAGACTACAAGCTCTCCAGAATCTGCTTTCCTGTCCAGTGGCTATTTTCCTTCATGGGCGCACAGCTATAGAGAATATCACCAAAACTAATCTGTAGTCAATGGAGAAAGAAAAGCAATGTTTACTAAGGCAAATTTAAAAGTTGCTTTCTGTTTTCCAAAGAAGGAAACATTTAAAATTGCTGATTTTGCATATTAGAAAGGTTCCAAAGCTGTCATGCCTGTTTTGCATGCCAACTGCTACCAAAGCTGAATCTCATCTGGTTTATTAGATGCCATTGCAGTTGCTTTGGCCAGGACAAAGCAACGTTCATCTATGTTGCTTTTAGCAAATTTTAATGGCAGCATTTTATATTGGTTGAGTATAACATTTTATCTTTCTTAAAAACCGCACATTCGTGTTTGTTTCAGGCTTCTTACTGTAACTAGTCCTGCTTACTGGAAAAAAAAAATCTCTTTTTTAAAGAGATCAGTTTTCCAGCTGAAACTGAAAACATTTTCTGTCTCATCCGTGATGAGCTGAGAAACCAGCTTTTTTCATATATACTGGTTTGGGTTGTTTTTTCAGAATCAACAGTTAGCTCTCAACAGTTGACCAACAGTTCTGGGGTTTTGTATGTTGCGATGGGTTAAGCACTTTCATGAAGAGTCTTTAAAAAGCATAGAACACAGGCAATGTCTGAGGGAGGCTAGGCAAACGTGTAAAATATTTGTATCAGGCAATTCACAGCAATACTCTGTGTCTGACTCAGGCTGCCTTTTTGGCTTGAAAAGGCTTCACTTCCGGAATTAGCAGTCAGTGGGGTTGGATGCTGATTTGATGTCAATCAGCGTTTTCTTGCTGGTGTAAGCTGCAGTGTCGGTCACCAGCAATAGATCTTATTTTCCCTCTAGTCTTGAATCTCTTCAGCTTTAAGACTAATTTTTCATCCTCAGCATATTTTCTTTTGAGCTGATGTCCTCAGAAATTTTAAATTTCTTGTCTCCCTTCTTTTAAGTGAAAAAAAAAGATACTTCATTGTTGAGTATCAAAGAAATTGAATGGGGTTGAATTGGGGCTAGCACTCGGTCCACTCACAGGAACCTCAAAGAAGTCAAAGCAAATAGTAATAAGACAATGAATTTTCAATGTAGTCTTCTTACTGAATATTCAAGGCCAAAGGTAAATTGTGGCATAAGTAGTTTATTACGCAAGCAATATTTTAATATTTGAAATACAGTTACATGAAAGGCTTTTTATTAAATTTGGTTTCATTAAGGTGTGATTGCACCTAATCCACCTAATCACCCTGAATGCAGCTTTGGCACACTGTAATTTCTATCTTTGTATCTTAATAATTCAGTAAACGTAAATTTCATCCTGTAGGATGAAAAGTTTGTTAACCATGGTTGCTAGTGATAATTACTATTAGCACACTAACATTTTTTAGGTTTTCATCAGAGGTTAAACCTGTATCAACTGAGTACCTTCTAAATATGTGAATTCTCTGTAGTTTTCAGCAGAGGTACCTGGGACCTCCTAGAATCAGACTGTAAAGCTCTAAGCTGCAAATGAAGTGTTGTCTTCCTTCCTGAGGTGACCATGGGTTTTTTGAGAGGAAAAGAAAAAAAAAGAAGAAGACTAAGCAATTAGTCACTAGTTGTATTTGCTTTGTGTCAGGGATAGTGGCAGTAAAACAGTTAATCATCTCCTCCTTTTCACTTTGACACCTCAAGTTAGAGCGTTAATGAAAAAAACCCCATCAATTAGTTAGGGTGCATGAGGTTCTTCAACTGCAGTTGTTTCTAGCAATGAAAAGGAATGTATATGTTTTGGTCATGCTTCTGTATATTTTTGGCAAGTATAAATTCCACCCCGTTGTAAAGCTTAGGAAGAGGCTAACAAAATCTGTGCGAAATGAGGTAAGTTTTTTCCTTTCTTCTTGTCGTTGTTTTGCAAGAGAATTTACAGTCCTGAGTAAATAGCTTTGCGCTCTGGGTGTTTTTCAAAAAATTATGCAAATGATAATTTTTATATGTTGATTAAAATTGTTTGCTTTCTAAAACAGTTACCGGGGCTCAAAAATCTTATGGGTAAATTTAAGACAGCTGAGAACAGAAGTATAACATCAGATTAGGCACAGCTAGCTCTAGACCTTTGTTGCAAGTTGGAGATTATCAAAAGCAAACAGGATGCATTTACCTTCTGAGCTTTTAAGTCATGTTGTTACTATTATTAAATACTATTAGTATTTGATTTCATGGTAAATCTTGCATCCTACCACTTTTGAGTATGCACACGCTTTCTGTGACTCTGAAGTAATATACTACATACAAGAGGTTCCTGACCTTGGAGCACGTAAAATATCAGCATTAGATAATGTATAAATTATATCTGTATTTAAAATGGATTCATATGGATTTGCTCTTGTAATTTTAACTAGTTATAATCAAAGGAGAACGCTTGTAGGATGCAGTTTTATCTTCCTGTTGATAACCCAGCTGTTGCACACAAATACTCAGAGAAAGCACTGTGACTCTGTAGGAGAGGAAATGCTGTGTAATATGGCCTTACAGTGCCGCTCTTGGCACTTAGATTCAGACGGGGGGAAAAGGGATTCCTCTGGGATTCAGCTCAACGATACGCCGGGTGTGGCTGGAGCTCATGACAGCTAGAGGCATTTCCACTCCCAGAACCTGCATCCCCAAGAGCATTGTTGCTTGCCTGGATCTTGTATGAATCCTTAGCACCATTTCTTAAGTAAATGGAATACACACAGACTTGAATCTGTGGGTATGTTAGAATATATACATGATAGCAAAATAGTAATTAAGATGACATAATATGAACGCTTCTGTCTTTCAAAATCCAGAACTAAGGAACTTTGATAAAAAGTATTTTCTTATTCAGTCTTATTCAGTCTAGTAAGAGTATTAGGTCAGAGATGTGAAGAAGAAATCTCCCATTTGTCAATGGAATAAACCAGTACAAATTCAAAATGATATAATGAGAAACGTTAAAGCAATCTCACCACAGGGTTTTCTGGTGTATGCAGCAGTTCAACATCCTACAATAAAACAAATCTAAGTTAGAAAACTTTAATGTTTAAAAGGGGTGTCCCTCACCAGATACATTTGAAGCAATACATAATGCTTGTAGATAATATTATGGTAAATACTTCGCTTACCTTATCTTTCACTGAAGTTTCTAACAGTTTAATTGTCTTCAGAAGCTGTTTGTATTTTGCTGTTTTATATGGAGCTGCAGTCAGTGCCATGCTGGAACTCAAGAAAAGTATACATAAAATAATCATCCTCTCCATACTGATGAGTTTTGGTTTAAAATGTGCCAGGAGCAATGTTGTGCTATTCAAAATGAACACTTCAGTTTGAGCTGTGCTCAGGTATGCTGTGTACCTACCTATATATTGCTCCTTGCTGGAGATGTAAAACCCACCCATTTCAGTTTGGAAAGCTTTGTAGAATGGATCAATGAGTAACCTTTTTTTCTTTTCCACTGGCTAGGTGCATGTATGCAAGTTTGTGCGTAGGGGGCAGGGATTGATGGAGTGAACAAAATATGCGCCATCTGCACATTGAACAGGAAAAAAGAAAAAGGTGAATTCCCATTTTCACTTTGAGTCAAGAAATGAACATAGTAAAAAGTAGGTACTTAGAAACCACAGACCTAGGTAAATAAAGATTCTGCTTTTTTTTTTCTTTTTTTTTTCCCTGTTTCTTACAACAGCAAGTCTCTCCAATCCATTTGAAGTTCTTACGTACCATGCTGGAGAAATACAACGATATTGCTTTGTGGCTCCAAGGGTTGGTTGTTAGCTAGTTTCCCTAATGTCTATGAACTGCCACTTTCACATTCTTAGCTTGGTTTCTGCAACAGCTGTGACTAAAAGCTCATCTTAACATTTAAGCCAGCTGAAGGTTGCTTTATATTTACTTAGAACCAGGACCAGATGTTTTAGCAGGATCTTAGAGTGTGTGTCCACTGGGGGTGAAAGCTGCAAGGAAAATGTGTTGCCCTGGGAGAGGTGGATCCCTCTACTGTGCCCATTCCCCAAATGGGAAAAGATAAGGGACTAAATCCTGGTGAGTCCCAAGGGACACTGGCAGTGGTCCAGTGCTTGTGGCAGCTAAAAACATTGAATTATGTTTTGTGGCAGCTAAAAACATTGAATTATGTTTTGCAGCAGCTAGGCTCAAAATCAGTTTTGGTATTTAAAGCAGCCCTTTCAATGAGATGTAATAATGAGACCTGAGAATTCTCTTGAGGATGGAGAGGTGCGTTTGTTTTATGTGAAATGGAAACAAAAGTGCATACTTCAAAAAATGTCAAGCCGGAATAAGACCAGCAGAATGATATCAATTAAGAAACAAGTCAGAATCTCATAATTTCCTTCAATATCAATGCTTGTTGTAATTAGGGATATATGCTTCTTTGGAGGAAATTTATTTAATATTAAAAAAGATGTTCATTAGTGTTTTTTTTTTCCAGCATATGCTGGTAACGAATGTTCTCTAATGGGGAGGGAGTTGCTTTCTTTCTAAATGACTGCCACTGAACTCAAAGGTGTTTAAAGGTATTCGTGTTGAATATACTCATTTTTTTTATTAGTTGCCTTCACTCCAAGCCTAGTTTATGTCACTCTCACAAGCTGCACTGTTTTCATCGAGGCTCTCTGCAGGCACTAGGGACTTACTGGACTGCGGGCTGTAGGAATCAGCTGAATTTAAAATCACTGTTCCTGATATTTCATCACAAGAAGAAAAAAACCAGCTTTAAATATTTTACATATTGCCATTAATATTGCCGGTTACCATCGCTGTAGTATTGACCATTAAAAGGCTCCTGTGTGGGATTAGTAGAAGGCAATTCAAAGTCACTTGGGCACCTTCACTGTGGTGAATAAGAATATGCTCAGTTGACTTTCAAATTAAATCTTTGCCTCTGAAAGTCTAAAGGTTTCAGATGGCTTTGGAGATGCTTTACAAAATCTACACAGAGTATGGACTTCAGTTTGGTGTCTAGAATGCTAGTCTGTGTAGTATGCTGACATTGTATAAAATGCATCTGTATGTTTCTGACTGGTGGGTAAATCTGAGCAGTCCAGTTGGATCCCTTATTTGTCATTCATTTCAAAATGAGCATTTATGCTGATGAGAGCTCTATGTCAAGCATACACAATGGTGCTTGGTTTTTGTAATAAATTATTATTCACTGTGTGTTGTTTATGTGGTTAAGCCATTTTTTAGTCTTTCAGGAAATGGATAGCTTAAAGGAATAGATTTTACAGGTGTATGTGTAGATACACGTAACACTGTCATGCGTGCACACACAAAACTTCTCCTGGTGAAAGGGCTAGCTAATTACACTAATAGAGCAGAGATCCTAAAAAATAAGAACTGATATAAGTAAGAAAAGAAAAAAATTCCACCACATAGCCTAAAATTTAATTTCCTGAAGAAAGTGTACTGTGATTTTTGGTGTTTTATTTGTTTTATGTACAAGTCTTGAAATTATTTTAGATAAGCAGTGCATCTGGACTGGGAAGTAAGGAGTATCTCAGTAGGTTTTATTCAGAAGTTGTGTTAATTTATAGCTAAGGATCATTATTGGAAATCAGCATCATCCTCTGTTTGAGAAACTATGTGGTGACTGCATTTTATTACTTTTTTTTTTTGCTAGCCTCCTTTCCCTCCATCCCATTCAGGTGCAGCTTTGAAAATTTTTTTAACCTGTTACCCAACACCTCTGTGAGGCTGCCAAGAGGATGGAGAGATTATTTCTGAGTGGTATTATTTACATGAAGAGAGTACTTAGCTCTGCTCCTCTTTACCATAACTGACCCTTCATCTTCTCTGTAGGTCATTGTCTAGTAACTTGGATGAGCATACAGGCTGGTCATAATGTCTGCTTCAGATCACTGACATTACTGTCAGTGATCAATACTGTGAATTCTTTTGAGAAGCTCCTTTGAGCCCACCTACAGTAGGTGGTTGTGCTAGCCCTGGCAGCCTCTGTTTTATGCACCTCTGTTTAGTTGATAGATTGGAAGCTTTCTACTTAGATGTGGAGTACGACTATTAACTCTGTCCTTATTATGTGGTTGGCAGTTATTCACGCAAAGATATCACTGCAGATTGTTTGCATTAATCAGACAACTTCAGGACCACTCAAGAACTTCAGTTAATGTACAGTATGTTTTTATTTTCAGAAATGCAAGGTTTAAAGGGACAATGTAGAGGACATAGGTTTCTGTCATTGTACAGACACATGGTACAGTAACTTTAATATTTTACCTTATCAGTTAGAAATGCTTTACCTATTGCAGGCTAGCTTTGCGTTTTTATTTGTCCTTGATGATTTGCTAGATGAGCGTGCATAGCATCATTTGCTATATAGCTGTGTCTCTGCCAGGTACTGGTTTTGGTCTCTATGGCTACATATAATGGGACCCTACAATTCCATAGTAGGATCATTCCTGTGTAGCTAACAACTGTTTTAATTTTCAGCTTTTTTCATAAACTTGTGATACTTAAGGGGCTCAAGCAGCCACCAGGTCTTAAAGCAGTGCTGCTTCTGGAGATAAAATCTGAATAACAAAAGAGAAATCATAAGGCCTAGCATGTTACTAGACTGGACAGTCCTGGGATCCTGGTGCTTAGGAAAGAAAGAAATATAATGACAGGCAAAGGCAGCTTTAAATCCACTGAACCGACCTCAGGCCTCATGAGCACTGTTTTTAGGAGTTTGTGTCATCACAGGATTCATGTTCAAGCAAAGCTGTGGTTATCCCTTCATTTTTAGGTTTACTTAGCAAACTTGCAGACTGAGTCCAAGTGGGGAGCCCTGCTGATGGCAAGTAGTGTGTGTGTGCTTGTGGCTCTAACCAAACATTATGCAGCAGTGCATTCCAAAGGACAGTTTATGATGTTAGAGGAGATCAGAAGGTTTATTGCAGTGAAGACCACTGCATATTTTACATTAAAACCTACTGTGTGAAAGAATGGCTGTACAATAATGCCAGAGACTGTTTGGCCAGTAAATGAAGCGTTGTTATTTGATACCAGAAGCATCACAGAAATTTGGCTGACTTTATTAATTTGCTCGTGCAACAGGATAATTCATTGATTTGGTGGAGGCAAATGTCCACCAAATTCATGGGAGGTGAGATGGCTGTATCCAAGATATTCCTAAATTAAATCCATTATATCAGAAACGAGTTTTCAAGTTTGTGGAGTGATTAGAATGGGAAGCTAAACAATAGGCATTTGGCAATGTGGTAGCAGGTGGTTATGCATCATGTCTCTAAAACTCTGTAGTTGTCTGTTTTGTGTTAGAGGATATAAGGTCACAGTAATTGCTTGAGGAAAGGCATGCTGACAAGATAAAGTGAAATATAAGGACAAAGAACTTCCTGTATGTCTAGGCAGTGGAGAAAACTCCTTGATATCCCTCTTACCAGATAAGAGTGAGCAACATGCTTTTTATGTATGTCACTTTGCTTTTGTGGCTTAGGAACATGCTGAGTCAAATAATGACACTCTCTCTTGCACCGATGCCTGCCCAGCCCCGGAAGGATGCCTGCAGAGTGGAAATCTGAAAAACCTCCCATTCCAAGCCCGCGAGGCTGAGTCCTCTTTCCTCTTTGCAACAATGCCACTCAAATGCTGAATGACTTTGACACCGAAAGCCCAGTTCCCCCACCCACATTTTCCTTTACAGTATAGTTGAATGTAGGTTTTTCCCATCGCTTAGTCATTGATATGGCTCAGGCAAAAATGCTTGTAATGTACCAGGCTGCTTTCAAAGAATTTTTTGACTTAGAAGCATGAGTTTTTATATATACTAGCTGCTGCCCACGCCGGGGGGGTTGGAACTAGATGATCTTAAGGTCCTTTCCAACCCTAACTAATCTAAGATTCTATGATTCTATATACTCTAATATATACTGTCTGATAGTGTATACTATCTGTGACTTGGGGGTAGTTGTGGGGAAGCAAGGGAAGAGAGGTGTGCTGGAAAAGGAGAGACTAGGAAAAAGGCTTGCGTATAACAGATTTAGGAAAGTTAGTCTTTAAAATATTTCTGACAACTTGCCAAATTAGTTCCACCCTCTTTCAATATGATTTTCTTATTACAGGTTTTGGTATAATTCTTCTATCTTTTCACCCTGCTTTGAAAAGGGAAAGTCAAACCTGGGAAAAATTCTGTTCCTAACTTGTAAGTGTATTAGCTATAAAAATCAGAGTAAAATCAACTCTGAATGTGGTGACATAGACACTAAAAAATTAATAGACTACATGTGACAATATAAAACCATTGGCATTCTCCATAATGGTCTTCCAGAGTTAACTTGTAGCCAGTTTCTAATCCATACTGAAGTGTGCCTGACACTGGCTAATAACACGACCCTGTGTATTAACTGAAAGAATTGGAGGAATAAATGGAGCAGCTCTTACAGGAGATCGTGGATTCAGTCTTGAGAGAATGTACTGAAGGTCAGAGGGATGGTAAGCAAAAGCTTTTATTACAGAAGATTCTTCTTATGTCATATAAGGGTAGTTACCTTGAGCAAAATATTTAGTTCTATTCCCAGTTGCTGGAGAACAGGGAGAAGAGTATGACAAGTGCTCAACTGGCTGGATTGTAAAGTGAACTGCTCTGTCTTCAAAAACTTGTGTGAGTGCCAAAGAATCCCCCTGTCTGCAGTTAGTAATAGGGGCTGGAGAGGTACCTGGCTACTATGGCCATGCCGGTGTTTGGCCTCTGGCTGTTACCATTTAAATTATTTCAATAATGATAGTGATAAATAAATAATGATTTAAAAATCATGATACTGTGCTTCTAGCAGTGAACATCATGGACATCATTAGCATTATAATCTGTGGTTGTCAATTGCAGTTAAGGCTAAGACACACTGGTAACAGAAAACGAGGTGATGTAAGAATGAAAGATTTGGAGATGGAAAGTAGAACCTGCTTTCAAGAACAGACAAAATC